TAGTAAACTTTCTTTTTACTTTCAAGCAGCTCTGGAAAACCACATTTGAGCCTTGCAAAACAGGTTCTGGCCTACCTGGTCTTTTCAGATGTAAATTGACCACATTCTTTAAGATTTGGCTACAGGCGGAAGGCGACTATCCCCTTCCTCCATTAAGAAAAGCTTTCTTAATTAACAAAGGACCAGTTTTTTTTTTCCCTTGGAAAAACTGTTCTTTATTATGGAAATGCCAATCCTGCTGCTAGAATCTAGGTAGCATCTTTTTTTTTTCCTTTGGTAAATAATCAGTCTTGGGCTCCATCCTGCACATTTGCAAAGAGAACTCCAGCTCAAAACTCTATCCAAAATCGGACTATACGCATGTTAGTTTTAAGCCAGCTTTTCTTTCTACACGTGCACAGAAATCCCAGACGCATTTATTGGGTAGGGGGTGACCTGTGTTCACAGATCCTCACTCAGGCGCCCACCCGACTGCCACACAAAGGAGGGGAGAGGGCAGGCCCCCTCCCTCCACACTCGCACACTTTCACCAGAGTTTAAATGAATATTCAGAGTTTAAACAATAACAACTTCCCAACTCCTGAGGGAGCTCTACAGCCTCCCCCAATCTCCTTGAAATGATCCATCACAATACCCAAAGAAGCAGTCTGAATTTGTCCCATAACGTCCGTCCAGTAAGTCCACAGAAAACAGAAAAAGAAACACAAACACAGACAAATACAGTCTTCCAACTCTATGGAAGCAAAACCAAAACAACCTTCTGACTCCGTGGAAGCAAAACTACAGATTAGATGATGGCCATGCGCCAATTGGCGGGAGCGACCCGCTTCATCTCAGATTGAGGGGTTTGTACAGACCTCCGACTCCGTGGAAGCAAAACTACAGATTAGATGATGGCCATGCGCCAATTGGCGGGAGCGACCCGCTTCATCTCAGATTGAGGGGTTTGTACAGCCCTCCGACTCCGTGGAAGCAAAACTACGCCCCTCCAGATGGAGGATTGGGGTGTCCCCTGACTCCTCCCGCCCGTGATCCCCCAGTGCGTCCACCTAGATCATTACGGGCATTTACAGATTTCAGAAACGAGCTTGCACAGAAGAGAACACACAATGACACAGACACCTACCGCGGTCGTCAGACTCTCCGGATCGGGGTCCCTCCATGGTCTTGGGAACCCCAGGCAAGCCCCCAAATGTTATGCCCAGATTTCAAGATCCCCAATAGATCAACAGGGAGCCAGCCAAGTCCGATGCAAAAGCAGAGAGTCTTTATTATTATTACAGACCCGGGTCTGGCTCCCAGCCTCTACCGACGCAACGGCGAGACAAGAGTGCCAGCCCGATGGGAAAAAGGGGTTTGAATAGGGGGGTGGAGTGAAGGGAGGAGAGATGACTGTGGGCCCTGCTGATTGGCCAGGTGCAAGTCGGGTCTTGTTACACAGGATGTGATCATATCTATGGTGTGCATGTCCCTTGATTGTCATTGGTTAGTTTAAAGAAATCCTGGATGTGGCTAGCAGCGGCTTGGGCTTCTGGGAAGAAGCCTTGCCGCGCACATGGCTGCTAGGGTAAGATGGAGGGCGTAGCTCTCGCCCTTTCATGTGTATGGAAGAATGAAGTCTTGAGAGTAGCTTATCTTGTCCCTCAGTTTGAAGAGAGGGGCTATTTGAACCAGAGGAGCTAACAATCTTGGTGCTTCTCTTAAATTGTGGAAGGCAATAGCAAGGGAAACGAAAGCTCTTTTTATCTCTTACAAGTAGTCCTAAAATTTCTTTATGGTGTTTTATGCGGGAGATTTTTTGCTGTCAAAAGTGCTTTGCTTTATGTGTCTTTTTTTCTTTCTGAGTTTTTCCCTATTTGCATTTCCCTTCTTGAATTTCCTTCTCCAATGTCATTTTTTCCCTGAATGTCCCTTTTCCCAATATCCTTTCTTTCTGCAATATGCATATCCCTTTTTTAATCCTTTCTCACCTTTTTCATTTCCTCAATCCTTTCTCGTTTTGGTTTTTACCTCTATACAATCCTTCTTCAATTTGCATGACCCCTCTGAAACTTACACAGAGGGGTGTAAGTTTCTACAATGTACACAAACTTGTGATTTACAGACTTTCTTCAATGTACATAACCTCTCTGCAACTTTCCTAGTCCCTCTTAGTTTGTTTCTTCTTGCCTCATTCAGAAATAACCAACTTTAAAACAAACTACTTTTTTATTTTTATTTTTTATTTATTGATTTCAGAGAGGAAGGGAGAGGGAGAGAGAGATAAAAACATCAATGATGAGAGAGAATCACTGATTGGCTGCCTTCCACACTCTCCCCACTGGGAATTGAGCCCACAACGCAGACATCTACCCTTGACTGGAATCGAACCCAGAACCTTTTAATCCACAAGCCGATGCTCTATCACTGAGCCAAATGGGCTATAGCTAAAAGAAACCACTTTCAATTCTATATTACCAATACCACATTCTTTTTCACCCAACATAATTAGAATTCTTAATTCTTTTTTTTTTTTTAAAATATATTTTTTATTGATTAAGAAATTACATATGTGTCCTTGTCCCCACATTATCCCCTACCCCCCGCTCATGCCCTCCCGCCCCCCGTGTTCGTGTCCATTGGTTAGGCCTATCTGCTTGCATATAAGTCCTTTGGTCCATCTCTCCCCCTTAACCCCACCTTCCCCTCCCTTAC